ATTTATTATATCCCAAGGTTCTTCAGTAGTTGCATACACCTCAAATCTAAATCAGTGGTATTGATGTCTGAGGTTTCTGACACCATCCCCAAACTTTCCTCCTTTATCCGACTTAGTATCAACTGTGACATATCAAGGCTACAAGGCGGAACTCCTTTGTATAAGCTTAATTTGCACATTGTCAAATCTCACTGCTTCATCTGGATTAAGTTTATTTGTTAGTTTTATTTTTAAAAAGTCCTGGTATCAGGACGGTTATGAACACGAGTTGTCGATTCTTGAGGAATTTGTGCATTCAGTGAATGTTTCATTTCAATGGCTTGATAATAACAAGGCCACATCACAATCGCCATCTACCACTATGAATATAGGAATACATAAATATTCAGTCCTAAGATCAAACAACCCTCTATGTTCTCTGAACCACGTATGTAAGTAGTGCTTTCTAAGATATATTATTTACCAGTACTCTTTGGTTTCCACTACTTCTGGTGGACCCCAGCAAAAGAGCTTATTCAAGATATTAAAATTCGCAAAGTTACCAATCATATACCAAAAAGAATCAATTGTACAAACCGAAGTGTCTCTCTATAAGTGAAGCAAAACGGTAACAATTTGCAGCAACAATATAAATGGTATATTAAAAAACAAGATGATTACAGTTGTTATGAACTGAACGTCACTTGTAAGCTGCTTCTGAGTTAGCAACCAACAACTGATCAACAATGTTTATACGTAGTGGCGCCAAAAGCTTAGTGAGAAAGAATAAACCAATCTAACGATGATCTGGGCCGAAACTCCAGCTCAGTGTGAAATGACCTAAATATGTTGTAATACCGTCACGTTCTTTAATCAAAGGCTGTGGTCAATGAAGCAGTAGACTAGATGGTGGAGATAACGTTTATTTTTAGCAATCGTGATAGTGTGCAACCAGGTAGTTATTTTTTTTCCTTTACCAATGATACAGAGAAACAGTAGATATTGAATATGAATGTGATTACACATAAAGTATTACAGATAGATTAAAATTTAGCTTACATTTTGTCGTTACAAAAGTAAATAAATATTCTCATCATTAAAAACGTACATTTCTCTTTTGTACGCTAAAAATGAGTTTCATCGGCATTCAATAACTTGAATTTCCCGAATATTCCCATTATTTTACAAGAAATGTTGCGACACACTTTTTTGAAGCGTGACATGTAATTCATCATTTAGTATAATACAGTGTCGGCTTTCTATACTTTTCTGTAATGTCTTTCCTAGTGTTATCTGTTTCCGAAGCGTTAATTGAGAGACAATTCCTAGGCGGCTTATTTGCACTAGTTACGTTGAGCGCATTACTTTCTAACACAAACAAATATTATGCATCTCTTTAATTTGTCCGATGTCAGAGTGTTTAAAGTCATAGAGATAAACCGTTTCTTTAAGAGAACTTGTAGTACTGCATCAGTTTGGAAGTTTCGCTAGAATGTTGCCTTGTATATTTAATATCCCTCACTATGACAGTATATTCGGATGGATATCTGTAGTGGAATTGTTTCCTAATCACACAATTTACGAAACCAAGCATATAATGACTGAAATGATGTATATTAGTAATGTAACACATGGAGAATGTCTGTAGTATTGGGCGTGTAGACATTCATTCAATAGGATGGCATGGCTCAAATATGCAGAAGTGTTCATTATGTGTGACTTATTATTATTCATATTAAATATATTATTCTATCCCCAGACACAATGTGTCCTTCAGAAGTAATAATTATCATTGATAATTGTCACGATACGATGAGTCAGTGTAAACAATAAGATATTACAGATTATACAATCACATCATGACAAATTCACCGTTTTGGGATTAGCTCTATTATTAAAGTAGCATTAGTATAGAATTAGTCTACAATTCTACGTATTTATGGTGCAAAAGACTGAGTATATTCATATTCAAATAATTCAATAGATGAATAAACGTGTTAGTAGTCAATATAAAACACAGTTGTCAGCTTGTAGATTGTTTCTCCACACAATCTTCCATATCCAGGCCTTGAGGATTCCAAGTGAGGGCTTGCTTTGTGACGGAGTTGAGTGCTTTCCTAAATGCGTGTCCTATCCACCTCCAGCACTTCTTCCTGATTATTTCCTCTGATAGGGTCTGGTTAGCTCTATCCCATAGTGGGTTGTTGCTGATAATGTCTGGTCAACAGATCCGGAGTATTTTGCGTAGACAACTGATAATAAACACCTGTATCTCCTGGGTGATGGCTTTCGTAGCTCTCCAGGTTTCTGGTCCATACAGCAGAACTGTCTTGACATTTGTATTGAAAATCCTGACCTTGGTGTTGGTTGACATTTGTTTTGAGTTCCAGATGTCCTTCAGTTGTAATCATACTGCTTTTGCTTTACTGAACCGCACTTTCACGTCTGCATCAGATCCACCATGTTCATCAATGATGCTGCCCAGATATGTAAAGGTTTATACATCTTCCAAATCTTCTCCGTCAGTTGTGATTGGATTGGCGCATGCTGTGTTGTATTGGAGAATCTTGTTTTCCCTTTGTGTATATTGTGACCTACTGCTGCTGAGGCTGCTGCTACACTGGTCGTCTCCTCCTGGATTTGTTGTTGCGATTGTGATAGGAGTACCAGATCATCTGCAAAGTCTAGATCGTCCAGCTGCATCCTTTCTGTTGGTTATATCTCCCCAGATGTTGATGTTTTCATGATCCAGTCGATCACCAGGGGAAAAAGAAAGGGTGAGAGTAAGCAACGTTGCCTGACACCGGTCTTTACTTCGAACGAATTTGTCAACTCTCCTCCATGCACGATTTTGCAGTGTAATCCATCATAGGAATTCCGTACGATATTGACTATCTTCTGAGGCACGCCGTAGTGTCGAAGAAGCTTCCATAGTGTTGTCCTATTTACGCCATCAAATGCTTTTTTCGAAGTCAATGAAGTTGGTGTAGAGTAATGAATTCCATTCAATCGACTGTTCCACAATGATCCGTAGAGTTGCGATTTGGTCTGTACACGATCTAACCTTACGGAATCCTGTCTGTTGGTCTCGAAGCTGGGAGTCTGCGGAGTCCGTAATTCTGTTTAACAACACCCTATTGAAGACGTTTCCTGGTACTGAGAGAAGAGTGATGCTCCTGTAGTTATCACAGTTGTCGAGATAGCCTTTCTTTGATATTTTGTTCAGAAGTCCTTCTTTCCAGGCTGTTGGTACTTGTTCTTCATTCCGAATCTTGCTGAAGAGAACTTTCAGTACCTTTGCAGTTACTGCTACATCTGCTTGCAGTGCCTCTTCTGGAAGGTTATCTGTTGCTTCTTGAGTTTTAATTTCATCTTGGCGACCAGCAAGTGATGATCTAATGCTGCATCAGCTCCTCTCTTGGTTCTCACGTCTTCCATCGTCCTCCTGAACTTTTTGTTGATGCAGATCTGGTCGATTCGGTTTTGCGTGGTTCGATCCGGTGAAGTCTATGTGCTTTTGTGAATGCGCTTATGTGGGAATATGGTGCCGCCTATGACCAGTTTATTGAAGGCACATAAGTTTGCAAATCTCTCACCATTTTCGTTTCTTTCTCCCAGTCCATGTCGTCCCATGATGTCTTCATATCCGATGTTGTCCATTCCAACCTTGGCATTTAAATCTCCCATCAGGATGGTCAAGTCATTTGTTGAGTACTTCTCTACGAGTGACTGCATTTTGACGTAGAATTGGCCTTTAGCGTCTTCATTGTAGTCATTGGTAGGGGCATAGAATTGGATGACGTTTATTGTAATGCTCTCTTTCGTTGTTTTGAAGGAGGCTTTGATGATTCTTGATCCATGAGATTCCCATCCTATAAATGCATTCTGTGCTTGTTTTGATAGCGTCAATGCAACTCCTTTTGTATGTGAGGCATTTTCTTCATGGCCGGAGTATAACAGAAGCTCCATTGAAGCATGTCGCTATTGTCCAACCGGCGTCAAATGTTTCTCTGATCCCGAGCATCTTCAGATTGATCTCTTCATTTCTGCAGCAATTTGTAAGACTCTCCCGTTCTTCCACATTGTACGAGTATTCCATGTACCTAAATAAATGGTTGCTTTGGTTTTCAGAAGAGTTATCAGCCTCGTGACTTCCGAGGAAACTCGGCCTTCATCATGAGGCGTTACAACTCTTCTAAATGAAGATCTTCTGGCTCCCATGGCGGAGTTGAAAAGATTTGAATAACTTTTTCTGGTTAGCGCTTTTTTTAGCAAATTAGTTTTCTGCAGGACGGAGTCGCTAACTTTATGCACAACTCCCTTCTTTCATCCGCGCCTGAGACCGGCAGTAGCCTCAAAGAGGCTCCAGGTGAAGTTTTCTCAGACACCTTACATAATAAAATGTCAATTCAGTCAAAAATGATGATAATTAAAATGGATAGAACTGGTTATGTCTGTATATTACCATATCATATAATATTCAAAGTTAGTGAAACGCCTAATTGCTTCAACTTACGTTTTATAAACATCTACCAACATTTATGTTCATCATCACAGATAGGGATGTGAATCAAATGTAAAAGGGTTTGGGGCTCATTTTTTCCTAAAACTCTGATTGGAGTATATTTTTGACTTGACAAATGGTGAATTCATTTATTTGAGTTATCACTGTCACAAATAACCAAATGACTAAAAATTCACCCAGGTTAATATATAGAACAAGTGCTATGTAACTAGCACAAACATTACGAAAATTGACGTGTGACGGAAAAATGCTGTTAATGGCTGATAAACAACGACATTCAGAAGTCTCGACAACATGCAACGCGTGCGCGAAATCTAATGGCTTTGCTTCTTGACCGTCCCGAAAGATGTCATCAAGCAATTTTATTTCGGGAAGTTTGATTCAGAATGGATTTGTACGGAAAGAGTTCGAGCAACGAGGTTTTAGCAAAGATGTTTATTGTGGTGAAAGATTTCATCCAGTCATTTTATAGCATGCGATCTTTGTCAATGCTTAATGACCTCAGGCGCTCAGTTTGTAAATCTGCACATGACAGTCCCGGAGAACAAAATTGATGAGATTAGGACCTTGATTGTCCCTAAAAACCGCAGAACACCAATTCGCAATTCATGGCCTTCAATTGTTGAGGTACAAATCTGTATGTTGTCTAAAGTTTCTAGTAGGTGTTAACAAAGCAGCTCAAACTTATGGTATGCATGAAAACAGATAAGAAATTATGGAAAGTATTTATCAAACCATCTTCCGAAACAAGAGATGCCCAGCACTTACAGAAGGGTTGTGACTTCGTGAACGCTTTTTTGAAAGGCTTTAAGTACGAAGACGCATTAGCTGTGGTCAGAATAGATGGTATCTACGTCAATTCATTCCACATAATGGATGTGAAACAAACACTCAAAGTAAGTTGACGTTTTTCGTCCATCAACTTAGATACGAACAATTGTTTTAAAGTCTTTTAACCATGGTAGACTATTCTCTTAAGTATAGTATTACATTTCTTGTCATGAGTAATAGGGATTTTCAGTGCTTAGCTAGTGTTTCTTTAGTGTGGATGTCAAGGTCGCAATTCTAGCAAATAATACATGTATGCAGTAACTGTTAGATCAAAATATACTTAATTTGACGATTGTTTCAAGTGACAATGAGTCATTGAAAAGTATGCAGTATATTTCGTTCAAAACCAGTCTCAAGTACACTTCTTGGTTTATTTATAAAATTCCGTTTTGGTACTGAAGCGTTCGAAGTGTAGTTTAGAACATCAGATTTTGAAAACATTGGACACAAATATCAAACTTTTCGTCGGTTACATACTACATAAACTACAGGCTCTTAATGTAGACCCTAATTGTCGAAAAATTTTAAAATGTAAGTCATTATAGTCCTCCTGTCGTAGAGCAATTGAAGCAGCCTGTAATTCTACTAGAAAAGTTTGTTCATCGATGCCAATACTTCCAACAAATTGTGGTTTACAAGTGGGCTAAAAACGTTGCAGTTAAACGTTAAGTCTGGTCAGTAGTAATTTGTAGACTCAGAACGTTGATCATGCAACTCATTTGCGGTATATGAGTTCGTATGCTTGATTTTGAATCATTTTCCTGCAACAGATGATGATAACCCTTGGCTACTCAAATCAAAGTAAGCAGAGAAACCTCATACAATAAATACCACTTTTCTGCGTAATACCATCCGCTTGAACAAATGTCAGGTCAGAGTCCGAACTCAGTTCATAACAAATTCCCTGAAGTGTTAAGCCGATACCTTTAATATAGCATGTGTCACATGATACCATTTGCCTAATATCATTTCTAATACGGTTTCTGATAATTGTTTTTCAGGGTGATCACATGGCTCGAGCAGTGGGGCGTATATGCGGTGCTAAAGGTCGTATTCGTATGTGTATTGAAAACGCTACACGGACTCGCATAGTTGTTGCCGATGAAACCATCCATATTCTAGGAAGCAATGACCGTATAGCAGTGGCCCGACGTGCACTATGCGATCTGATATTAGGTGCTCCGCCGAACAAAATTTTCGGAAAAATTCGAACACACGCCGCTAGACTAGATTCTTCTTTGTAACTTCTTTAAACCTACGCGCTAATGTATAAAATTTGTTTATTCATTACTCGTTATCTTGCTAATGTTATTATTTTGATACCATACGTATTGTTTTCATGAAACGTAAATTATTTAAGGATAACATTTGCAAATTATTTGCTATAAATGAAAGTAAACTTCAGTTGGTTACATGAGTAGTCGTAGGGAAAGGAAATATACACACTGAACCTGTGTATTAAAGTACATCAATAGGGCTAGTTGTTAATCGTACTAAGAGTAAGTACACTGTTCTTTTAAAAAATATCAAATCCTTTGTTCTACCGTATAATACGTATATTTTGTGGTTTCATAGCACTAAAATATTTAGAATCCCATAGACTTATTTCTTTTCCAAATGTAAATTTGCTCCTAATAGTAGTCAGATGTTTTAATATTGAATAGGTACTTTTATTTTAATTGTACTAGAATGTTGTTAGAGAGCTTGTCGAAGATGATTCACAAAACATGTAACGTGTTATGATAACTTTAGGATACAATTCGGTTTATAGTTATTGTTCGGTGTCCTCAGGCACTACGTACTTTTAGTTTGATTTGGATTATGGGCGCACATAGCGTGGTTTGTAATAAAGTTGTGGTTCTAACTTAGTTACTTTTGGTCGATTAAAAGTTTTAATTAAAAGCCTACTTTTTAAAGCCTATAGTTTACCATACAAAGTGTAGGTCACATACTTGTTTAAGGTAAATTTGAACCTTTAATATGACCCCAGAAGCTAAGCACAAAGTAATAAATAAAATAGCCCCTTGTGCTATTGAACAGTAATATCTCGAAAAGGGTTTAACTATTTGTGTTGTAACCGTATGAAATGCTAGTACTGCTACTTGTATAACTAATTGTTATGACTATGAAAAATCTGTTACTTGTCACAGCGGATCGTAGATTGATATTACTGGACTCAGGGAGGAAGTATTTTGCGAGTGAAGTTCTATTCATGCAACAACCACTAATTAACGGCTGACAAATTTGATATTGAGGTATATGTCATCTTAAATATCTCATCAATGTTTAAATGTAATTGCATATAATTTTCGGGAATTAGTAATATACTATATGTATACAATTCGCGATATTATTTGGTCAGCTGTTTTGGCTAGCGAACATAACTAAATCACTCATTTACATTTTCGCTGCTCTCTGATAGTTCGCTGTCGTATTTATGGTATTTATAGGTCAGTTAAAACAATGGGGAGTGTTTGGTGTTAATAATAATTGGTCTGAATTTTGAGACCTGAAACATTCAAAATTGAGGCGTCTGTATCGTAATTGTAACTGTTGTATGCATAGTAAACATCTTGTAGTAAAACAGAACCGACAATTCAAAGAAATCAAGTCAAATAGTCTACAGAAACAAAAAGCATCACCGTCATTATTGAAACACAAAGTACTTTGGATTATTCGAGTAACCGACAATGGTTGGTAATACTCTAGTGCTTAAGGTGTTTGGTTTTCAGTCTCGGTTCCGAAACTAACTCCGTTTGGAAAGTATAGCAGTGTCGGCATTTTTTGCGGAATGTGAGTGTATTTGTTGTGGGTTACTTAAGTTACATTTGGTTTGGCTAACTTTCAAAAGGCTACACTGCAATTATGTAAAATGTAGATCTTTCGTCAAACACAAGTCTGTACAATATTTTTTCTTCTTAAATCGTCTCATTTTAGTTGGGGCTAGATATTTCTATGTAAATAAAACCAGAATCTGAAAGGAAATGAGCATTTTATTTTACAAGTGATTAAAATGAGTGGGAATTTCTTTTATATCAAATGTTGAGGTGCAGGTTTGTAGTTAGTATTGACGAAAGATGTGTTAATTTTCAAAACCATTTCAGGTGGAATTTGTACTTTACAGTAAAGATGTTTATAACTGAATGTATTTTAAGGTTCCTGCTATTAACTATAAGGTGGTGGGAAGTTATTAGGTTGACTATAATTCTGATCATAACCTTGATTTACCTGATATCCTTGGGGGTAAGAATGCAGTTGTAAAGGATCTGTGACATTAGTAAGTTGAGTTGGTGATTGTTGTGTATTTTTCGAATGAGTTCTCAAATTATTTTGGTGAGTAATTGTGTCTTTTGATACGGTTGAAACATTTGAACAGCAACAACATGTCAGTGAGAAAACATCCATTAGACATATTCCACTAGCCAAAATAAGCAATGCAGTTTGAACAATGATTTCTACCCGATATTCATAATAAACTTGTGCATCTATGATGTCAATAATCCAATATATTGTAAATAACGAGAGCATAATACCGATCAAACATACAAGCAAGCTGAATAAAGCGAAGGATATGGCTAGTTTGTAAAATTTTCCATCTTGTCTACTTTTTTCAATAGAATAAATTACTGCAGTAAATAAGATAAATGGACTTGTCCAGTAACCTGCATAAAATGTCAGTGGGACAATTCTTATGTTATATGTGTATAATTCGCAGATCACAATGGCAATTATTATTAACATTGAACAAATTGTTGACAGCAGCTCGAATAAGAAAAAGGTGGTTTTTGGGTTCTTGGGTATATTTTCCATGTCTTCAATGTTCTTGATTTTAAGATGATAATTTAAACCTTGGATCTTTCATACTGAACTTTTCCTACGATTTATATATATATATATATATATATATATATATATATATATATATATATATATATACCAAAACTGATGCGCATTCTCACCTGTTTTTAATTTCATATCTGTAATCCGGTTGGTTAAAACGCCTAGTAACAATATTTGGTAACTATAACAACGGATAGTACCTAGTTTTATTAATAAAGGTTAAACTCCATGGTTAGATAGAGAATAAATTCCCACTAGTGTGTGATTTATTTCTTTTCTTAAATTAAAATTTTATTGTTTATTATCAGTAAGTAAATAAACAATAAGTTAACAATTTTCCAAAAGGATCGTTTGATACATATAAGAATAACAACAATAATAACCTTGCTTGAGAGCCGATATAATTCAAAATTCGAAAAGAACTGGACTGCCGAAATTTGTCCTTACTCTGCCACTAGTCATACCTAACAACATGGTTTGAGAATTATTATTGAGGAATGTTGATGTATTATTGATCGCAAGCATATTTTTAACTGTATATGAGGATATCACGTTTTCTAGAACAAATGCAATCAAAATAATAGCTTTTTCCGACGTGTTATATTTCACTTTTGTCTCAAGTTTTTTCTCTATCTGCAGTTCTTTTTTTAACTTTATTAATATGTCCTTCATCTTTTTAACGGAGAGGGGATAAATTATTCAAAATTTATGCTACTCTAAATCCAAGCAATCTCTAGTCAACTTTCGATCTTCGAGTCATTCTTGATGTGAACGAAACCGACCAAACTGATAGTCTGTTTAGTTTACCTTCAAGCTTTTGAAACGTCGAATATGCCTTCTTCTTCCTCTTCAAAATTCGCTCGAGCATTGGGTTCTTTCTTCCCCTTTTTCACTGATTGTTTCAAATAACGAGGATCAATTTAAATAGTTTAAGACAATTTCATTTGTTTCATTTTTGCCTAAATTTATTTCCAGAAAGTGTTTTGTGTAGATTTTAGGAATTTCACTAATTGAAATCATGAGGCAATTGAAGCTTGATCAACGTGGAAAACCTGGACGCACTGGACGGCCGTTTCGTCCTAGTATGGGCGCATCCATGATCCCGCCCCCATGAGATTCGGACCAAGGACCTATCGATCTCGCGTGTGAGCGCTTGACCATTAAACCACTGAGCCGGCCGGCATCCAACGGTGTTAATGTCTAACTTCAACCAATCCACGAAATTGCACTACCGTACACTATTGTCTCTTGAAGTCAGTCACTAGTGAGTAGATGATTATTATCAGAATCAAATCTCCATGAAACCCCTTCTGATAATAATCATCTTCTCACTAGTGACTGACTTCAAGAGACACTCCTGGAGTTCTAGTGAGAAGCCGTTATTGGTGGAGTTCAACAAGGTCTGTTGTGAGATATCAACTCACTGAAGACAATGGTGTACGGTGGCAGAACTTCGTGGATCGCTCGCGCGCGAGACAGATAGGTCCTGGGTTCGAATGTCTCGGGAGGCGGGATCGTGGATGCGCACTGCCGAGTAGTCCCATGCTAGGACAAAACGGCCGTCCAGTGCTTGCAGGTTTTCCATGGTGGTCCAACTTCAATTGACTCATGATTTCAACTAGTAAAATTTCTAAATTTATTTGTTAATATGGTTGTCTTTTCTATCGTTGTTTTCTAATGTACGTGTATATAATTGAGTAGCATTTCAGTGTTCTCTAAGTGCTTCTCCTTATTGATTAATACTTTATTAAACCTTTCTTTGATACTAAATGGAAATGTTTTTTCCACTTTTAAATGAACAATAAGGAAAATTTGCAGTTCACAAAAATAAACTTTAAAAATGTTACTTTTTAAAATTTGTATATCAGTGTTGGGACGGCTTCGCGAAGCACGACGAGGCCTCTAGAGGTTTTAAAAGAGACAAAGAGATTCTATCCAATTGAAACCTGATAGAAATTTCCAGAATGCATCCTTGTGGAGGCTGTAATATTGATGTTACAACCAATACTAATAACTACAAAAACCCATGCTTTTCTGTACGGATTTACCTTCTTACTCAATGATCACTTCTGTTTCTCCCGTCTTCTGATCTGCGACTTTGGGGTTCTGTACGTCAGAGTGCCGTTGGTTGTATATCATATACTGTCGTAGTCAAGTAGAGGTCGCAACAATTAGAATGAATTTGCTGACAACAAAAGAATGTAGTGCATTTGAGATTCTATTTTTACTGTTAACCAAGAACCAAATTTTTGATAACTTCGTACTGACCAAACTTTTTTATAAAAAATGTAAAAAACATTATTCTTCAGTAGTCATTTAGAATTGTTGTGCCATGATTTAAACTTTAAGTTTCGTAAGTTCTAAACATTATATTTTGATTATGTCAGTTCCATACAAGAACATTCAAATTAAGAAAATTAAAGTTTCAGGACCTGTTATAACTTGTGGCCTGAGTGCCTTGCTAATGTATAACGTAATGGTACCGCCAATTAGAGAACAGTGAATTATCGATCAGACCAATGACGGGTAAAACCCGTACGAGCAGTCTAGAGTACTTATCGGTCCTGTATTCTGCCTAGCCCAGCCAGTTAAGTTCAGAACACCAGTCTCAGTTTCTTCGATACGAATCATTTATTTCAAGCATACTGTTTTTATATACCAACCAGACAGACCACAGGAATATCTTTATCCAGTAGACAAATAATTATCTGAAATCTGTTAATGAATATTATAGATAATACCTATAAATTAATGATGATAAAGCAAACGTGTACTTTGAAATGAAGGATTTTATTTTACTTGGCAGCATACTGAATTGATATGAATCAAGCTTCAGCATTCAGTGTGGACTGATAGAATATTCATCTAAAACTCAGAAATTCTTCAAGTACATAAATATGAAGTTTCAATTATGTTGACACCCTAATAAAAAAGAATAAATTACAAATGAAGACTCTAAGTAATTAAAGATATATGTAAAAGTAATCTACTTCACTAAATACATTGAATTCCATTTCTTCGTAAATTCATTTAAGTGAGAAGTTTAATTAATAAAAAGGCGTAGTGTTTAATTTACGATTATCAATATGATAAGTAGAATATTTTAAATTTTAACCTTGAACATAGTTGTTTTCTTTTAAATAACTGTTTCAACCTTATTAGTAATGTTTTCATATAATGATGACTGGTTTGTAAATTTTTGCACACGTAATTTCAATTTTAATACAATATATTCTAAAATGCATACTGTCTTATTTCTTACTTAAGTGCCAGTCCATTTGTGACTACTAGAGTATATTTTGGACAGATCTGGAAATTACTAGTTCGTTTATGCCATTTGACATTGCTACTTCCTCCTTTTGTAGTGCGTTAAACAATTCATCCACTAACTATCAATGAAATTCTGATGATGAGGATTGTTTATTCATGAACGATTGCACATTTTACAATTTTTTCAAATAATGGTTCTTTCAAGCTGGAGGCTGAATTTCCAAAACGAAATGCACATTTTGTACTCCAGGATTAACAAATATGATTTGACTAAATAAAAATAATTTCTGATAGCTTCTATGTTTGAAGTGATTACGAGTTCACCTAGTCTGCGAACGGAACAAAGACTATGACCAAAGACAAATAAGCAAGCTATTTTGATGGATCTCAGCCCCGCTAACTATAAAGAGAAGTCCAAGTTCGAACGGGGAAATATATTCCGCAAGCAGCCAGAGGCACGAACAACCAGTCTAGTCGGAAATACACTAATTTATATATTGGTTTGTACACACATTTTTGGATAATATTCAGAATAAATCTTATATATGAAAATTACTTCAGGCAAGAATATCGTATGTCATAGGGGAAAAGGAAACAAATACTATATTGAGTGATCGTTAAATTGAATTAAACAGAATTAATGTTGAATAAAAATCATAATTATTAATCAATCTAATTTTGAATTTTCATCCCGTCATAACAATAATACACACTACGCCAATTAATAAAACCTTGCAAAAACACGTAATCCCAAAGAAAGACAGTGATAACCATATCTCTGCCCATGATCATATTCAGGATCTGTATTTTTAAGTTTCATTTACAAAGCTAGTCATGCTTCTAAAGATCTGATATAATTAATTTTGTGTATCTACGTTGATTTTGGATGTAAATACAAGTTAGTATTAAAAGTCAAATATGGGATATTATTTGAATATTTATAGTTTATGAATTTGAAGGAGTAGTGAGTGCGTGTGATTTGAACTACTGATCTGAACCAAAGTAATCTAGTTGCTCAATTTATAAATCCAAATAATAAGATATATGGACATATATGCACTGACAAACTCTAGCTATAGCTTTTCTGGGGTTATTGCTGGTCCCAAGCCTAGGTAAATGGGGGAGGTTGGGCGTGGGGTCGGCAAGCACATCCCATAGAAAACGGCCTTCTTAAAAAAACGCTAACCAGAATAAAGAACTTTAAGCATTTAAACTCTCTCCAGGTAGCTTAAGGATTCTCATTCAGGAGAAATATGACGCCTCATGGTGAAAGCCCAGATTCTTCGGACGTCACGGAGACGATGCCTCTTCTAACAATCACAGCAACAATTAATGTAGGTATACAGAATGTTCGGACGGTATAGGAAACTGAGAGGACCAATCAAATAGCTACGGAAATGAGCGGATACAACTTAGCGTTGATTATAATCAGTGAAATACATTAAATCTATGATGGGCAGTAAAGGTTAGATTCATGAGAGATCCTGCTGTACCCTGGTCCCGAAAGTGAGAATGGTAAGCACACTCAGGAAGTCGCTCTGTTGTTTTCCAAAAAACATGTAAAGTACTTATAGGATGAGGATCTCATGGATCTAGAATCACCAAAGCATCCTTCAAAACAATC